TTTCGGAAGCCTTGCGGTTAACGGGCGTGACCGTGGCGGGGCTAATGGGCGCCGTCACCTGGGTCTTCTGAGGAGGGCCTGGGCTGGAAGGAACCGGATGTCCTTCGCCTCCAGGCCTCTTCTCCTTCTCCTGGCTGGGCGGGAGGCGCAGCGGGATGAGCTCGACGCACGGCTTCGGCTCCCTCAGCCTCTGCGGCGGGATGAACTCGCCCGCCTTGTCCTGGGCGTCGGGGTACCGCTTCGCCGCCCACGCGCCCTCCTGGGGGCTGGCGTACGGCGAGCGGACGGGCTCTGGGGGCCGAGGGCGGGCTTCGGGCGAGGCTGCGTGGGGGCGCTCGGGGGCGGGGTCGCCTGCTCGTGCCACGGCCCGGACTCGCGGCCCAGCTCGACGCGGCCGTAAGGGTGCTTGTTGTATCTGTCCACCACGCGCGGGGGCCCGTAGTGGGGGTTCCCCGGAAGGGCGTGGGGGCTGACGGGGGCGTAAGCTTCCTTCGGGGAGTGCGCTGACCCGGGGGGAGGCGTGTACATCTCGTAGGGGTGCGGGCGGGGCTCGCCGTGAGGCTGCCGGTCGAGTTTGGGTCGCGGAGGCCCAGGGCGGCTGCCGTCTGCGGGCGCGAAGGGGGCGGGGCCCACCGGCGCCACCATGGCCACCTCGTGGTGGCTGATGGGCACTCTGTAGCGCACCTCCGGCTGCCCGGGCGCCAGGTGCCTCGCCTCGGGGGCCGCCCGCGGCGCGTGGCGGTACTCCGGCGGAGGGAGCCTGGGGTCGTGCTGCGGCGCGGGCGGCGACGGGTGGCGCGGGGCGTGGGGCATGGGCGGCTGCGGCCCCCGGGGGTCGGGCTGCATGGGCGGGGGGCGGGGCGGCGCGGGTCGTGGTGCATGGCCGCGTGGTGCGGCGGAGGGGCGCGCTCCGACACCAGGATGGCCCTGGGCGGCGGCACGCCCCGCGGGTACGCCACGTACTGGTACCTGGGCTGCGGGCCCGGGTGGCAGTGGCGCGGGTCGGCGTGGGCGGGCAGGCGGCGCGGGAGGGCGAAGGGCGGCTCGGGGAAGCGCGGCGCGAACGGGTGGTACTGCAGGCGGGCGTCGGCGACCGGGAAGGCTCCGTTGGCGGCGGCCGGGTGCGGCATGGCGGGGTGGAGGCGCACCTCCGGCGGCCGCAGCCTCACGTCGGCGGGCACGCCAGGGTAGGGCGGCCGCAGGCCCTGCACGTAGTGCACGGCCTCGGCGTGCGGCTGCGGCGGCAGATGGGAGCCCTGCGGCGGCGGGAGCGGCTCCTCCACCACGCTCTCGGCGAGGTCGGAGTCGATCCCGACGGCGAAGCACGCCTTGGCGAGGATGTCCTGCGGGTCGCTGAGCGGCCTGGCGGGCGCGGGCGGCTCCTGCGCGTCGGCGGCCTCCGAGGCCTCCAGCAGGCGGCGCTTCTTGGGCACGGGCTCGGCGTCGCGGCGCTCGCTGGGGGCGCCTGCGTGGGCGTCCGGCTCGGCGGGGGCCTTGGGCGACTGCGGGCGGAGGGCGGCCTTGGCGGCGGGCGGCGCGGGCGGCAGCTCTGGTGCGGGCGACGGCGCGGGCGCGGACGGGGGTGCGGGCGGCTGGCCAGCAGAGGCGGAGGGCGTCGTAGGAGCGGTGGGAGTCGTCGTCGCAGCGTCTGCCATCGCACGCGCGGGCGCGCTGGAGTCCGAGGGCGCGGCCAGCAGCTCGCGGGGTCACGCAGCTTGAGGCCGGAGGAGCTCATGCCGGCCACGGGCGCTCTGCGGAGAGGGACAGGGTCAGAGGGCGTCGGGAATGCGGACGGAGGAGGAGGGGAGGAGGGGGAGGAGGGGGAAGAAGAGGAATGAGCCAAAGTAGAGAAATGAGTAAAATAGAGAAATTAGTTAAATACAAAAGTGAGTAGAATATGAAAGCGAGTAAAAAAAGAGAAATGATTCAAATACAGAAATTAGTAAAATAGAGAAGTGAGTAAAACTGGAAAGATAGTAAAATAAGATAAAATAAAATAAATGCGTCAAACAGAGAAATAAGTAAAATTGGGAGGTGAGCAAAAGAGGTGAGTGCAATATAGAAGTGAATAAATACAGGAGGGACTAAAAGAGAGAAGAATACACACACACGTTCAGCCAGAAGCGAAGCTGGACGTGTCAAAAGAAATGTATACATGGGAATGAAATATGTTCATATTCACGTCAAATAAATTCAGGGAAAGAGAATTCAGTCATTTAATCATATTTGCTAAATGAATATGTTAAATCCTATTTACCGAGGTATATATCAAAGAGAGAGAGAGAGAGAGAGAGAGAGAGAGGGAGGGGAGGAGGGAGGGAGGGAGAGAGAGAGAGAGAAGAGAGGAGAGGAGAGAGGGAGAGGAGAGGGAGAGGGAGAGGAGAGGGAGAGGGAGGGAGAGAGAGAGAGAGAGAGAGAGAGAGAGAGAGAGAGGAAGAGAGAGAGGAGAGAGAGAGAGAGAGAGAGAGAGAGAGAGAGAGAGAAGAGGAGAGAGAGAGAG